CGATGAAAGACCACGTCGCGAGGCGGGGAGGGCGCGGGCGGGGTGGAACCCCGCCACCAGGCCGGCAACGGAAGCGACAAAGGGCTCGTCAGCTCCACCTGCGCGCGTGGGGGGCTGCCGCCGATCTCGCCAAACCCCCCTACCCCCTCCGGGCTGCTCAGCGGGAAGGTCGAGCCGGAGAACGTCCGCGCCGGGGTGAGACTCGTCGGCGTCGATAACGAGGACGAGCGATGCGAGGCGGATCCCCCGCCTCGGTCTCGGCGTGGTCGTCTTTCGTCATCCCCATCGGGGAGGTGAAAGTCGTAGTGGAGGAGGAGGCCGGGGTCGGCGACCCCGATAGAAGGATCCCCCTGAGCAGGGGTGGTCGCCCCCCACAACCCACCCCCGTCCGAGAGAAGACCCCTGGTGAATTGCATCGGGGAAGGTGAAATGAAATGGAAGTAATGAAGTGTGGATAATAATCCGCCAAAAGAAAAAGAAAATAAAAAAAGAACGGAACACGGAAGGATCGAAAACCGCTTTGGTTTGGGGTTGGAAAGGGGGGGGAAACGGGCAAACTGATGGCTTTAGGTGCTTTCCCCCCTTCCCCGACACCTTTTTTTTTAATGAGGATATTAAAAAAAGTCACACACAGGGAATCCAAAATAGAACAATTTTTGTAAAAAATTAAAATATAGTTACAATTTATCCAACCTTTACGCTTTCCCGTTATACCAAAGTAGAAAATAAAATCAAAAATGTATGATTACAAAAAGGGTAATATTAAAACTATTTCGAACGCAAGATAAAAAACAACGACTAAGAAGAATGTTATAGGATGGAAAAGGCTTAAATCGAAAAGGAAAGTGTGGAGGTAGAAGAAACATCTCACTGAAACTACGGTAATGTATGATTTCCTCCTTAAAGGTGGAAAACATCTGGTGAGAAAAGTAAGCTCACCCACCCACCCACCCTCCCCCCTTTATATGTATATAAATATAGAAAAATAATCGTACACTTGATTTTTTCTCTTACGCTCTTCCTCCCCCCCCTTTCTTATCGCCGCCGTCTTCGTTTGTGATGAAGCTTTCCTTCTTCAACGAGAGCCACGAGGTTGATCACCTCCTCGCAGAAATGCTTAAAATCTGGATTGTTGTGCAAAGCGGCGTCGAGCGCGTCTAGACGCGAGCGACTCTGATCAATCGTTCGGAGCATCTGCTGGAGCAGCGAGCTCCGGAGCGCACGACGGATGTCGGGATCGTTCGCCAACGCCGCGAGATGGCGTTCCTTCAGCAGATATAACACCCCTGGCTCCTCTTCCTCCTCCTTTTCCTTCATTCCCGTATTCCCCTCAGGCGCGGTCGCCGCCGACTTCTCAATTTTCCCGCGCCCACTTTTCGCCGCGGCGTCAGAGAAAAGGTCCGGTGCGAGATCGGCATCGTTGGGGGGGGAAAGCTTCTTCTGCATCGCGAGGATCACACTACAGAGGCGTGCATCCTCCCCTTCTGCGCGATGCGTTTTAAAGCAGTCGCTGCTGCAGTACGCCGAGCCGCAGGGGCGACATCGGTAGCGGGCCCCTTCCTTCTCGCACATAATACAACGCATGATGAACTACACGAGACCCTGTTCCTTGGTGGATATTCTATTAAAAAAATGATACTGTTGTGGCTCTACGCTACAGCACATATATCAACATCCGTTTTAAGTTTTAGCTTGCTTGTTCCCCCACCCCTGACGCTGTGCATCTCGTATTAAAATTTGAAAAAGAGGACGCAAAAGTGGGAATGATATTTTATGAAACAAAGTGCACTGATTCACCTTGAATTAAATCATTCTTTTTCATCTTATTTTACATTTGTCGTGCATCAAATTGCAAATTCAAGCTAAGTAATGCGTTCTAACCCTCTCTTATGTTACTACTCATTCAAATAAGGGGAAAAAGCAAATTGAATATTTATAAAATACAACTTCGGCATTCAGGAAGTATGTCTTCTATCAATCACTATGCCATTCTAGCCGAATTACCCTATAGCTAAAGGATGATATTTCCCTCCCCTTTCTCTCATTCCAAGGCACAGTATCCGGAATGAGACTCTTTGGACGCTGAACAGCGATCTGAAAATAACGCCGTATTAAGCACTGAACATTATAATAGATCTCCTTTGAACCTTCAATCTAACACCTCCTCATAATTGTTATTGAGTGCATATATCCTCATACGCCAATGTTGATATGCATAAATATAGATATAGATATACGTATCTACATGTATATATAAATGAGAAAGGTAGCATGGGAAATGTAAAGAGAATGGCAAAATCAAGAAAATCGTTCCAATATCGCCTTCCGGACTGTTTTTTATCGAACACGCCCCTAAATCTTTCCCCCCTACTATTCCCCTCCTCCTCCCTCCTACATATAAGGGGCGCCGGAGCTCATCGAACCAAGCAGGCGCTTATTACGGTATTTATACCCATTATGCTCATTGAGCGAAAAAGGCAATTGCATCATCTCGAGGCTGTTTTCGTTCAACCGGTAACAACTTTGGTGGTGGAGCCGCGTTAAAATCGAAATGGAGCCGGAGGGAGGGGGCCGCATCTTGTGAAACGTATCCACGGTGAGGTGAAACCATCGTTTGATGAGCATCTGCAACGTCAGGCCGTGGGTGATGATCACGACGTTTGTATCCATCGGCAACCGCACCCGCTCCCGCTGAAAGGCGTCGAGAAAGCTCGTTACCCGATCGCACACATCCGCGCCGCTCTCGCCAAATGGAAAGCGGTAAAAAAATCGCCCATACGCCTCGGCTTCTTTGAGGTGGAAGAGAAACTCGCTGGCGGTTTTGTAGCGCCCGATATCGCCATCGCGAAGGCGAACGTCCTCCGACATCCCGGCGATGCGGCAGCCGGGGGTGCCGCGAGGGGCCCACGACGGATCCTCCGCGGACTTTTCAACAACCCCCCCCCCACACCCCGCTCCGATGAAATCCCGTGATTCGATTCTGTAGGAAACGATGAGGAGGATGTGGTTGGTGTTGGTGTTGTTGTTGTTGAGGAGGAGGAGGAAGAGGAAGAAGAGGATTTCTCGCAGCCGCAGGAGGTGGTCCCCTCAGGGGCCTCCCACCACGGGTAGCATTGGCTATTTCGCGAGCGCGTTTCCTCGTCGAAACCTTCCAAAACATACCGCAACGTCTGCCGTGATCGAATATACGGCGAGAAGTAAAAATACACGGGATCCTCGACGACAATGGAGGCCAATTTACGCCCTGCCTGGGTGGATTGCCGTTTGCCCTCTTCCAAAAGCGGAATGCTCCAGTCCGGGGTTTCGATATACCGATTCAGATCCTCGTTCGCCTCGCTCAAACCCGTTCGGATGAAAATAATCCGCTTCACCGGCTCCACAAACGGTTTAAACTCCTGCACGACGCCAAAAGGGGGAGGGAAAGATCCTTCGTTGGCGGGCGATCCCGACGGCGAGGGGGGGTGAAATCCACCGGATGTCGTCGCCCCTGACGAGGTGGGGGCGATCCTACGTTGAGGGGGAATCTGCCAGGTGTGGGGGCGCGCAGGGGTGCTTCGAATCGTGATCGACATCTTCTCCGACTTCCCCGTGCGCTTTTCAGAATTGGAGGAAGGATTTATCGATGGAGAAGACGGGTTCGTCGGATCCGACGCCGCCATGTCTTGGGCGGCCCCTCCTCCACGACCATTTCCCCCAACGTTCTTCCCACTTCCATTCTCTGCCTGATTATTTGAAGACAAAGAAGAAGAAGACGGAGGAAACGTCGAAGAGGAGCTCCCACACCGCTGCGTTGCGAGCGCAACCCCACGACTGAGGCTAATCCACGGCCCTGCCGAACACCCCACTCGCTTGCCCAAATACTGCGAACTAAGAGAGATCAAAAGCACCATTAACCTTAGGCTTGAATTTTTGATTTCAAGGGGGAAAGGGGAATCTGCAGTATTGTCAGCTCCCCACGCAGGAAAGAAAAAAGAGGAAGGGAGGGGGCGGGGAGTAGAAAAAGTATAGCAAAGTGCACGCTAAAAAAGAAAAACTCAAAAAAAAGGGGACAAAATAGAAATATTTTCCATGCCTGCAAGAAGTTCTTGTGATGAAATTAAAGTAGTTAAGAATCAAATATGCACCTAAATCCGTCGTTTCATCCTTCTGCACATGGCTATCGACTTTAATCTTTTTTTATCTCATTTAGGAAAAAAAGTTGACACGTGTGTATTTCAGAAATGTGCACGTTTGCTACTATACACAAAAAATATATCTTTTATAGAACTGTTTATTTTTTCTGATTTTCTTTCACCACTACCTTTTATAGAAATCCATCTGTATGTGTCCATCCTCTCCAGATTCGAACACTACAAATCCTTAAAAAATTTTATAGTAAGAGATCAATGCATCGCTGTTTAACTTTGATGTTATAGAATCTCCCGTCTTCATCTCACGACCAAATCCAAGCAAAAGGTTACATATATATATTTTTACATACATAGTGGAGCAACAATATATTTGTGAAGAAAATTACGCGAAGCAATCGAATTGGTTATCAATATTTTAGTAATGAGTGTAGTATGTTATTTGTTTTGTGGAGGCAAAAGTATCCACCTCCAGATAAATGTTTTGGATCTCAAATAAGACTTTTGACTAAAAATAATGGCCCATATCATCATTCTCCAGCGCGCCCTGCCTTCCCCGTCGTTCCGGATCCATGTTCCCGAGAAATTTCTTCCGGTAAAGCTTCGTCATCTCTTGGCCGTCAAACTTCATCAACTGCAGCCGTGGATCATTCCCAAAGAGGGCCTTGCTGGCGTCTGTCATCACCAAACGATCGGTGTCGTTTTTCCGTTCCAGCACGACAATCGAGCAGTTCGGAGGGTTATCCAAGGTCTCCGTGAGCTCCACTGGAACGTTAAACCACCGGCTAATGAACAATCGAATAAGCAAACCATGGGAAACCACTACAACGTTCTGATCCCCGGCGGTGTAGTTCCCGATGGAGGTGTGCGGCATCACCCCATAGTCGGATTCATCGCATAAATCCTCCAAAGGAGGTGGGGATACACCCCCACCATCCGCCTTGTGAGGAGAATCCCCTTCCCCCCCGGAAGCGGGCTTCGCGGCGGCCCTCAAATCCCCCTCCTTCCAAGCCTCCCCCACTCGCTCCATCGACTCTGTAAAGTTCCGCATATCATGATTATTCATACTCGGCACCGTTAATCCGATATTCGTGCGAAGCAGGGAGTTGAAAAAACACGACACCCGATCCCCCACATCGGCGCCACTTTCGCCCCAGGGAAAGCGGTAATACAAACGACCGTATCGGTTGCGCTCCGCCCATGTTTCGTCCATCTTTTCGATCGGCTGATAATTTCCAATCTCCTGCTCGCGCAACCGCTCATCCTCGCACTCGCCAAGGACCTGAAGCTCACTCAAACTTTTTCGTATCTCCTCGAGCGTTTGTCGGGTGCGCATATAGGGAGAGTAGTAGATGTAAAGTTTCTCATTTCGAATTATTTGACGAATATCCTGCCCACATTGAAAGGCTTGCTGGCGACCTTTGGGGGTTAATTCAATCCGCCAGTCGGGCTTCGTGCTGTACACCGTGTGATCCACATTCGCCTCGGACTCCCCATGCCGGATAAGGAGAAGTCGTCGCGGTAAACGCTGATATCTCGCCTGCATAGCACGGCCCTGTTATTAGTAAAGCAACTCCAAGAAGGGAAAAGAAGAAGAAGACAAAAAGAAAGCAGAAAATTCAAAATAAACAAAGAATAAACAAATAATAAGGGAGTGGGTGGGTGGGAACGCCGAAGGTATAATCAATTGTACTGGTGCTGTCGTCTCCAACCTCAGTGGACTTCTTGGCTGAAGTATAGATGCCTTGATCCAAAAATAGATATAAAAATTAAAAAGAGAGAGAGAGAGAGAGAGAGAGGAGGAGGAGGTAGTAG